ATTTAATTGTTTGGGCATCCGGGGACGGGTTGCAGGCTTGTAGTCTTCCCAGAAGGCGATCCGCAGAACGGGCCCGAATAATTATTTTATTAATCCCACCCCATTTATTAATCAAAGGCCTACATTATTCCCTAGAACAGCAAACTGAAACCACAACTTTCAAAATCCGGCCAAGAGAAAGCCGAAACCTGAAGCCCCCTTCGGGTGGAGAGGTGAAGCCGGCTCGGACAGTGCATTTGGAGCCTCGGCCCTGAACAGGGTGCAGGTTTGAGGTGTAGGCGTTTAGGGTCACCAGTTTGGGGTCTGAAGGTCTGGGCGGTCCCTCCATCAACAAACCCCAGGGCTTTCAACAGGCAAGCAGTCACATGGATGGTTCTCGTCCGCGTCGGCTCCAAAACGTCCATACTGACTTGTGTTGTAGCCTTATCCCGCAAGCCCTCAACCGCAAAATCTTGTATGGAACGGAACTTAGGCGAGTTATTGATCTCTTCCCAAATTTGAGAAACAACCGCAACAATTAAGGTCGGAACACGCTCGAACCAGTCGGCATCTCAAACCCCGATCGCCCGCTTTGCCGAACCACAAAGACCCAACACCTTAAAAAGACTTGGAGACTGATGCCCTCTTGGGGTTTGCAACCCTGCGTCCTTTGGCCAAGACCCTGAGCCGTGTGCAAGTCCTTAGAGTTCCACTCATCATTGCAGGATTTGAGGTGGGCCATCACCTTTCGCTGGGGCGTGAATCTCCTAGCTCCAGACCCTACTCCTCCAGCATTCAGGTTTGTGGGGCATGACGGGCAGTTCATGCACGCTTTGGTCTCTTCCCAAAGTCTCGAGACAGACGCTGGCCCTACACCCCGCCCAACCACCCCAAAACGCCAACACGTCAAGTTTGAGCCTCTACACCACGCATTGAACAATATCTCCAAACCTTTAACTCCTGAGCCCGGACTGAACCCGCCAGCTACACGTGAAGTCGAGGATGGCCTTAGATTTGGCTTCTGCATTGGGCGCGACGCCACGGGGTGCCTCGACGCACACTCCAGGTTTTCTACATGTTACATGTTGCGTTACTGCTACGACCAGGACGAGGGCGACGACGATAACCTTTGGCAATTGCTGCCACGATGCCACCACCGCACCGCCAGCGGACGACAATTGCGGCTCCTACTTACACTACTGCACGTTCTCCGATTCCGTACCCCTGCTACCGCGACTCTTCAGCTATTGCTGACTCTACTACGGCTTCTACAACGACTACTACTACTACTAGCACTAGTACTAGTACTATTACTACTGCTACTACTACTACTATACTACCAGTACCACTACCACTACCACTACCACTACCACTACCACTACCGCTACCGCTACCACTACCACTACAACTACCACTACCACTACCACTACCACTACCACTACCACTACCACTACCACTACCACTACC